TTAACTTAGCCCCCCCCCATGGCCCTTCTTGGCCCCCCCCCCTTAACCTGTATATAATCTCGGGTATCTTAGAGCTCTCCACTTGATACGGCAATTTTGCTGTGACGGTTTCCACCTGAAGACGGAAGCTTGTGTTGCCTCCGAAACGTCGTGATTTAATTTAGATTTCATTTATTTTATTTAATAGATGTTTTACTTACGTGACTTTACCGAAAAAAACAAAGAGTATGAATCCTTGCAGTCACGAAAGCTTCAAATCTAGTTGGGTGATTGTTAATCGTGATTTTGCACCACTGCCAGCGTAGTATCAATTAATTACGTCTTACACAAACTAAACCACGTCATACGTGCATACAGTCACACAATTCTCAATGAAACATTTATTTACAAAAAACATATAGAGTGCTAAGATAATGTGCAGATAGGTGACTATACAGTATACATGCAGAGAGCCAATGGAAGGTGCAGCGAGCTAAGGGAGCTGTGGTCCATACTGCTCAGGAATAATGACAGGGAGTGGTGTGGTCATGTTTCAATAACGTTTGTTTTCTAATTTCATATTAAGTAGTTTATATGGTAGCCTTTACTCATTATGGCCTGCCCACCTTCTTTGTTAATTATATAAAGTCACATTTAGGGAATTTTTTTGGAGGGGGTTAATGCTTGTGTTCCACTTTTTTCTTTTACAGAATAACGAGGACTTCAGTCATGAATTAATACAGTTTAGCGATACAGTTATATTTCTGGCCCAAAGTATCCACAAAAGTCGTGAACATCTGAAGTGTATTATTAAGTCTGTTCGGGAAAACTCAGATGTACAATTGTCTGGGTTATACATAAAGCTGAGGGAATTAGGTTTGGAATATCATGATGTGAAAAATAGCGTTGATTTTCTTATTGGTACAACCGCGATTTCTCTTGATCATATTTCACGTTTGTCTGAAATAGTTAAAATTACTAAAAAATTACCAAAGGAAGTGCTTGATGAAATAAGAAGTGAATTGGATGACCTCCTGCCAGCATTTGATGAAGCTGTCAAATCAAACAACAAGATAGTTGAACAACTCAATACATTATTTAAGACATCATTATCGGAAAAGCAAAAATATACATGTAGTGCTAACGCATGTGAACAGGATATCAGAGTTAAATTAATGAATATGGCAGTTTCTGAAAAAAATAACGCATTGAAAGGGGAAACAGGACTATTAATCAAGTTTGAAACCTATGCAAAGTATATGAGCAACATGTTTGTAGCGACGGTGTCATCAGATGTAGTGAAGCAGTTCAAAAATGAACATAAATCCCTGGTAACAGTGTTTACCCAGTTTACCATGCAACTGGAATGTATCACTGAAAATGTTAACAGCGCAAAACTTAATCTTCAAAACATATATCAATCTCTAGAAAATATGAAGAAAAATATAGATAGATCTAAAACACTTGATGAAATTGCTATCTCTCGATTTGGAAAGATATCTATGGAATGTAAAAGAATCAAGGACAAATGTGCAAAATACTCTGAAATAGCTTCCCAACATAAATAATATTCTCAGCAGCTATTGTGCGCTTGTTAACTATTCAGAAAGTCAACCTGAAATAAATGTTTCTATTATAATTTGCTCATATAAGACAATGAATTACTAAATAGTATAATATCCAATACATCACACTTATATTGATAATAAATTATCTCCAAACATCGTTATTTATGGAGAAAGTACTTGAAACGTCATGCAGAAACATATAATTTGTTTTAAGTAAATAAATCACAAATTATTATGACACTGACATTGTACTATGAGGAATTATTCAACAAGTGACATTTTTAAAGAAGATATTGTTCACAGTGTGGACGTTGCTATGTCAAAATAACTTTTATCTGAATACTGTACCTATTTGGTTAGTGCAGTTTATGAGAAAATAAATCATGTTGCTTATTAATAACCACACAGAATATTGTTCTGACCTCTACAACCTACTCACTGCTAGAAACACCATAATGGCTAAGTGCACTTACATATTGTTCACCATATTCATAAAACTGCAATGCTCAGTAAAATCATCCCGAGTTACCATGCAATATAACGTATCCTTATTAATAATTATATAATGATGACCATCTTTGCTGTACTATGGTATTTGTTTTCTGTCTCATGCAACTTTATATTCTAAGTATCTGACGGCTGCCTCCTTTAACACCAGCAACGAACGACGCCACCACCTGAAAATTACCTGCCAAGGGCGATTTTCAGTATTTATTCGTGTGGTGAGATACTCTGCCACCCGGAGGAATATATGGATTACGTTCCCGATCCCATTACAATAGCCAATTAAAGCTTAAGATTGGTGTGAGAAGAATATTTTACAACTTCTTGACGAAACCCCCTCTCGTATCCAGAAGCCAACAAACAGTTTCCCATCTCTCCCACACGCCTACAAGTGGAATGACTCCCAGGAATGGACACAATCCGCCAGAGACACTGGGACCAACTGGATTTTATATTAATTGGGTGGCCGTTACTCGACAGTGGAAATTGCACATTCCTGTGGATGGGTAAATTCTCCCAAAACACTACCAATGCTGTAGACAGTGAGGATGCAATGATGGCAATGCTGACGATAGCGACGATTTATTAAGGAAAGCTTTTCTGATTATGAGTGTTTTTAATGTTTGAAGATACATGACTATCTCGAGAAGACCCACACACACGAGATAACAGAGTGAAAGATCTCCATAGACGCATTCATACACCCACTCTATAATCTATTTGACGACTGCCTTGCAATCCAATTGGTTTGGAAATTGAACATTTCTACACAAGCCTTTGCCTTCAAAACTAAACTATTTTTATTTTACCAGGAAAAGCCCACTGAGCTACATAACTCTTTTTTAGAAGCGACCTGGTCACAAATTATAGCTCAACAAAGTGGCTTATCACATGGAAATTTATTGTAGCCAAATACTCAAAAACAAGTTTCTAAATGTGGAAGGAAAAACCAGAGGACCCAGAGAAAAATGCATGCGACTACAGGCATCATGGTAGGGATTGAACCCACGACCTCCTGTATACCACGCAAGGTAGTTGACATCTCGCCACCGTGGCACCCACAACCTGTGTAACAGCTTTTGCTGTTGATGAAATGACCATGCAGCTTCTGCTTCTGCAATTGATTAAACTGATGATGTAGCTGTGATACTGTTGCTGTATGTGATATTGTATCAGTGCCATCTGTAACTGTTTCTTAGTCTATATTGAACTCTGGTTTCTGTTAAGCCTGATAAAATAGAGTAGTTTGCTGCCTCTATTGTTAGTATATTCCATTTTATCTACCAGCTTCTTCCAATTAATCATAATGCGAGCTATTTTGTGTATAGTCTATTGCTTTGCCACTTTCAATTTCGTCTTTATCCCCTTCTGCTCTTCTTTAGTATCCATCCAAAGCAAATTAGTTTCTTTAGCTATGGTTTATTCGGTAATGTTTGGTGTTTAGGGGTATACATTTGTCACCCAGTTTGGTCACTGTTTATGCTCGAAGTGTTCACTAAAACAATGGATAAAGGTACACACCAGAAAATCTGTGCATCACAATCGATCGTTTTTACTTTAGAATTGTAGAGTATGCAATGATGCAAGCTTGCTAACTTGGATCTTGGCTGAAACTTTTTGGTATTTTAAGTACTAAGTGCCTTTGTGTGGGCCCCAGAGATGTATTGTATGTAGAGGTAATATACGAAAGTGTTTTCTATATTGGACTGCAAGTAATACAGTAAATCGTGAGAAGGCAGAGCAGAGGCAGAGTGTGTTAGAAAACTGGGTGTTGATGTAGATGTCATCAGGCAGGGGAGATTGTGATGAGTGTGACACGTGTGCAGGAGGAAGGGTGGCAGATTACCAAGGGAGGAATTGTATTGCTCCCCTAGGAGGTCAGTGCACATGAGAATGGCAATTGCGTCTTCCAAAGGTAAAAGTATCATAACAGATTTAGAAAGTCAGTAATCATGAGATATGGTGGCATCAATAGCATTGGCCGTAATTAGATCATAACATAATTCATTTAAACTATGCAAAACCAAACTCATATTGTCCATCATCCTCGTATCCACGAATCCTATTAGATACACAAGCCCAGAAGATATGTGATTATTCCCATAATCCTTGAATTGGCAAGGTTTCACAGATTCTTTACATAACAACAGAGAACGTAATGGCCGTGCCATCATTGCGACAAAGCACTCTGCCACGGCCCCTGAACGTAGAAGATGAAATGAATATGAAAGAGGATTGCATCAATCAATTACATTTTGTTAAAAGAGGATTGCTGTCGGATCCAAAAAGACCAAGAATGTAGTAAGACCACGATCTGTAATTGGCTATTATAACGCTTACCTGATTTCTGACAAGATAAACGAGATAAATTAATTTGCTTGCAAGAGCATCTTTGCTCAATAGGCCTCACCTGAAATAAACTGACTGGCTAATATATTAAATCTGACAAGATACCCATAATTTGTTTATTATTTATTTTTAAGTTTAGTCAGATTTCATTTAATCAATACATACTTTAACATTGCAAATTTTTTATTGTATTTAAAGACTTGCATAATGATCCAAAAACGGACCAATGCTCAAAATGCCAAGAGCAGGATCAATGTTTCTTTTTCACTTAGATATGACAAACGTCTTTTCTGGATCGGATACAGGAAACTATGCAATAGATCTAATCACTGTAGTCAAATTATTTTATTTTAATAGATAAAATCTTATGAGCCGAGTGGATATTGTAAGGTTTAATAGCATGGCCATATGTTGGGTTTTTAAAGGTTTTGACTGATTTAATAATGATAGATGTTGTGCAAATCAATAGCCAAAACTGAATTAGGCTTGGCAGAAGTAGGTTTTCGAACCAACTGCAGTTAGTATCTAAGTGAAATAATCTGTTTTACATTCAAACAGACATTAATAGCACCAAACATGATTTTAAGTTTTTCTTCGCAGGTTGACAAGAAGTTTCGTGATGCAGCAGGCAAAACCAGAGCATCTGTTGAAAAAGTATGCACTCTCACAGACCAGATTTACTACGATTTAAAATCTCTTATGAAGTACATGCACGTCAGCCAAGGAAGTTTATGCATTGAACTGCTACCAGAGGTCCATGCATTCTCTTTAAAATGCCAGGATGCTAAAAACAGTGCAGAATTCCTTAAAGGTTCAATGGAAATCACATTCCAGCATCTTTTCCAAGTAAGAAAAATCACGCTGAAACATACATTCGAAATGTCTGTAAATGAATTTAGATCAGAAGTAGCGGATATTTTGGCATCACTGGGAGACATTATTAACAAGCATGATCAGGTCATAAAGTATATTAGTGAACGAATTTGTGAGGTGGGGAAATTAGCTTCGGAAAATAAAAAAATAACAACCCATGGAAGACTGGCAATAATGAGTGCAGACGCATCTGGTCAAGCAGGACATAGAAAGACAGGTATTCAAGGAACACAATCAGGAGAATATATTGCAGGAAGCCAAGGGTCAGATGGGAAGCAGGGAAAAATAAATGGGGGGAAAAGGAATAAAACTGAAATTTGTGGAGCAGGAGTAAAAGATGACAAACTATCAGAAGGAACATCAAATCAAAAAGTAACTGCAGTGAAAAGTGATAGTAGTGTCTTTGCAAGAGTTAAAAGCTTTGGAAACAACTTTTTTCAAAATAACAATGAAAACAAACATAATTCTACAAAACACCCAGGTTATGCAATGCCAGAAAATAACGAGGTTGTGATATCAACACAAGATAAAGAATTAATGTTAAAATTTGAAGAATTTGTCAAACACCTACATAAAAACAAAACATCTCTTCAGCAAGTTAAGTGGGATGTCGATGATTTGAACACGTTTGTAAATGGCATTGACAAGATGACTAATGCTGAGGTCACACCTCCCATTACTATTACAGATACGCGTGAAAGTAATCATTCAAAGGATCAGAATATATAAAACCAGCAAATATGTGAATTTGGCGTTGCCATCTCCTTTTCACATGTAGGTTCACCTTTTATGTTTAATGATCCAAGGCAAGATTTATAACTATCAAGGAAAATATTTGTCTTATTACCTTGGTACCTGCGACTCTGAAAATAATTCTCCAAATGTAATCAATGAACCTTTGTATGTCGACTTTAATGTTTTACTATTCTCAACATTGCAATAAAGATGTTATCATGATCGGCCATTGTCTATCCACTACTGGGTGAAGGCCATCTCAGAGTCGCAATTCATACATTTTCTACGTTTATGTAAACGAGACGATTTCATTGCTCCATCCCCACGTGGAGGTACTCTCGGGTGTATTTTCTATATTTACCGCAACGCAGTCGTTAGCCTGCATTGAACACTGGCAATGAATCCCACTTTTATTAACATTCAATATGATGCATTTAACGTGCATGTGTTCTCTGATCCATATATTCTCCATGTGTCGCTTTGCACTGTTCAGCTGTGGTGCTATTTTAATTATCAATGTTCATGTTTCTAATTTACATATTAAAGCAGGTAATATGCATTTCTAAAAAAAAATGTATAATGATGGAACAGCTACACTTAGATTGAATGACAGTAGAAACATACACTATAAATGGAAGTTACATATGTAATGGGCTCAAAAATAGGCGCACACAACTTCTTGGGAGGCAACACTATTTATTAACTCAACGTACACCTAACATAGGGTGGTGACCACCGACCTATTCTAACTAACACACACCATCACTCACTAACCCGGACTCTCGGATACAACTAGCGTGACCCAGCCAGGAGGGCTACTGGCTGGTCCACTGACTGGAGGCTTGACTCTTTACGAGGCGTCGTCGCGATGCATCTTCCTTCTTGACACGAGCAGCCTCGAACCTGGTGAGGGGGCTGCTTATATCAGCATTGGTGTGTCCGGGCCCCACCCCGGTCACGCCTTCCTTCGAGAACCCTCTCGAAGCTGCTCGGCTGTCCACGTGCCCCCCCCCCCCAAGGTGCCCCCGGTCCCCCCACCTTGATCTGGTCACGTGTCCAGCCGGGTTCACTCAGAGTGCCACGGCCTTACACAACCCCCGTGGCCCTCACCCACGGCCTCCCGATCCCTGAACCGACCCTGATGTCATTCCCGCCTCCAGACGGGATGACGTCATGTGTGTGTGTAGGCCCGCGTGGTAGTGACGCTCCCCCGCATAGTGACATCACACGTGTGCGTGTATGTGTGTACACAGTAGTGACGCAAAAACAACCCCCTATCTCCTCGTGGTGCCGGACGGGCAACGCTGTCGTGGACAGTGCTGTGGGGGGAGGGCCAATTCTGATTGGCCTTTCCCCTCATGGCATTTGTAACCACCACAGCGGCCAAATGGGGGCTCTGAACGGGTGCGAGTGGCTGGTAACCCCTCCACCTTCAATTAATTACCACTAAACCACGAATGAAAATTTTAATTAACAAGCTTGTGTCGGAGGCTCCGGGGGGACCGGCGTCTATGATGTCTCCTGGCCAAACCCCATTTGTCGGAGCCAGGAGATTGAATCTTTACCCTTCGGGCTCCTCCAGAAACAACAAAAAGCCACTACGGATGGCCACGTGGAATGTTCAAACGCCCACTGCGGAGGAGATGTTGCCACTCCTCTGTCTGGAGCTGGACCGGTACCGCCTGGGTCTCTGTGGTATTCAGGAGGTACGGTGGACCGGCTCTGGCTCCTGCCACCATGAGGGGTGGACAGTCCTCTTCTCGGGGCAGGAGACTGCCAAACAACAGGGAGTGGCTCTTCTTCTGAACAAGAGAATGAAGGGGGCGTGGGAGCGTGGCGGTGAGATGTGGGAAGCTGTAAGCCCCATGCTACTTTGGGTTCCCCTTCCTATCAACCAGAGGCGAGGAGTGGTGGTCGTGGATACTTATGCCCCCACTGAAGATGAACATCCATTGAGGGATGCAGGCAAGGCCGATGAATCAGATGCCTTCTATGACCTCCTGTCACAGGTGCTAGCTAAAGTGGCCTCTCGGGACAGAGCCATCTTGTTGGGTGACTTCAATGCCCGAGTTGCTCATGATGCTGGCACCTGGTCTGGAGTGGTTGGAAGGCAAGGGCCAGATCAGCTCAATAACAACGGCAGGAGACTGCTAGATTTATGTGCAGCCCATGGGCTTGTAATTACCAACACGCTGTTCTGGCATCGGCGCATCCACTCAACATCATGGATGCATGCCGGGTCCAAGCAAGAACATCTGCTGGACTACATAGTGACGGAACAGCGGATGAGGGCCCATGTCCTTGACACCAGGACCTATCGTGGAGCTGATCTGCCCACTGACCATCGACTTGTCATCTGTAAGATGCACCTGTCCAGGACTCCATTTAAACCCTTAGTGGCATGGTCTCAGCTAGCTGTTGAAAGTTGCAGGCGAGAATTTCATCATCGCTTGCGGCTGGGGTTGGCATCGTCCCCCACTCCTCCTGATGTTGAGGGGAAATGGGCTGGGTTTAGGACTGTGGCTCATGCAGCTGCAATGGTTGCTTTGGGTACACGGTCCAGACCTCCGCAGAGACCCCGGCTGATAGAGGAGGTGTTCAAGCTGGCTGAGAAAAAGCGACAGGCCCACTCTCATCGGCTACAGCATCCCACGTCGGAGATTTAGGAGGCTTACCGCAGCCTTCGCTTGGAGGTTCGGAGAGCCGTGAGGCGCTGCAAGGATGGGTGGTGGTCGTGGGTTGCTGAGGAGATGGAGTCTGCCTCAGTGGCCCGCGATCACAAATCGATCTTTAATTCCATCCAAAAAGTAACCTGCAGCGCCACACCTATTACCATCATTAGGGGAAGGAACGATGATTCAATCTCCGACCCCCAGGAACAGGTTTGCAGATTTGCTGAGCATTTCTGTGAGGTTCTGGGGGAGGGGACATCCCTCAGCCTGGATAACAACGTGGCACAAAATGGGGATGACCCTGCCAAGGCTGCGGTGCCTCAAATATTGGAGTAAGTCACCCCCTGTGAGTGGCTGGCTGAGGTGCCATCTGTTGAGGAAGTACTGAAGGCGATCCAGAGTCTGAGACCAGGAAAGGCACCAGGCAGAGATGATCTCCCAAGCGAAATACTGAGGGAGGGTGGCGTTTGTGCACAGACTGCCCTACATGACATCATAACAACAGCCTGGACCACTGGACGGGTTCCGCAGGACTGGCAGGATGCCCTGGTGGCCCCCCTCTTTAAGAAGGGGGACCGCACAAACTGTAACAACTACAGGGCAATCTCACTCCTCAGTGTGCCGAGAAAGGTCCTGGCAAGGATTATTCAACATCGCCTTGCTAGGCATACTGAGGAGAGGCTTGCGGAGCCCCAATGCGGTTTCAGGAAAGGGCGGTCCTGCACAGATGCCATATTTTCTGTCCATCTGCTACAGCAGATGTGTAGGGAATTCTAACAAGACCTACATCTCTGCTTTATTAACCTGGTCAAGGCCTATGATACCATTAATCGGCCTGGGCTCTGGGTTGTTCTTCGTGCTTTCGGAGTCCCTGACCCTCTGCTCACGATCATTAAGGACCTTCATGATGGTGAGCGGGCCCGGGTAAAACTACGTGGCCGGGAGTCAGAGCCATACGCTGTACGCTGTACACCTTGGAGTGCGACAGGGATGTCGTCTGGCTCCCACATTATTTAACATCTAGTTTGACCACGTAGTCCGTGAGACCTTCAATAGCTGTACTGGAGGAATTTCCATCTGGTACAGATACAATGGGAGGCTGATCAATGCCCGGGTGCGATCAAGGGATGGCTCCCTATTGCTCAACCACGTTATGTATACCGAGTTGATGAAATCAGCTAATGTGCTGGAGTGAGATGGTTTCTTGCATAGCGCGATCGGGTGCAGTGGCAACAACATAAGGCCTTCATCCAACAGTGGATGGAACATGGTTGATTTTAATTAAGTGCTTATAAGACTATAACTTGTGCACACTATTATAATGTTGAACACATAGGCTTTCGCGACCAATATCATCCATAATAGTTTTTTGGGGTTACAGCTCGTAAATATAAATGCGTCATTAAACCCGCCACCACCCGACACAGCCAATCAGTAAGGTTTGTCACATAAACAGAACATGTTAATTCGGTACTAGTACAGCACACCGGTGTGTTGGAGAGCAAATCTACGACATTTCTGATTACGGCGTTTCGCCAATAATTAACTAGCGAGATTCGTGGAGAAATCCTCCTGAAAAAAAACGATATTATGGACATTATTATAATGTATGTACTCCATGTGCCTGTCACTAATGTAAAGCAGGTCTATATGTAATCACAATTTTACCCCATTTATCAAGGATTTTAAGTTGTAGGTTAATCTATAACGCATGTAAGTGAATATGCAAGGCCTCTATGTATACATAAAATGAACTCGATATATTATTGAATCGATGTGTAACTTCAGGGTGGCTACGTGCGTGTTTAACTATATAAATTAAAGGTTATTGCATACTCGAATTGTACTTGGATGCTGTGCTTAAATTGTCCTGTAATTTTGATTTAAAGCTTTCGTGACTGCAGTAATTCATATTCTTAGTTTTTTCGGTAAAGTCACGTTGAAGAGAAACAACAAAATAACAAATATATATAAAACAATAAAAAAAAAAATTCTCACGACGTTTCGACCATAACTCAAACGGTCATCATCAGGTGTGTCGGTTTGCATAAATTTATTTTGAAAACGGCATATTTATTTATATATATAAAAATAACGTTTGCGTCACGCGCAACGATGGCAGTTTGCCAGGACTAGTCCATCTATTTTTTGAAAAGAGGAGGGGGGGAGACGAAATTTGTTTTTATGTATGCTGTCTGAAAGGCACTGTAAGCGTGAACAATCAATCAAGAACTGAAATGATTTATCAAATCTTTCCAATGATTGCTAAGATAGAATCCATCTTCTCGGTTGAAATTGTCTCTGTGTTTGTATATGTGGATAGCCTCATGAACGAATCTCTCATGGAAGCCAGATGGCTTACAAAGAACCTCCATCTTGGAAAAGTCAATGGCATGTGAGCCTACTGAATTAGAACAATGATCTGCTAATGGTTACTCCGACTATACAATCCGCAAAGCTATCACTCAAACCATGAAGAAGAACCCTCTTGAGGAGCCTTTCAAAACCATCACTTTACCCTACATTGCTGGGATCACAAAAAAGATCTCCAAAATCTTGAATAAACACAAGATACAGGTCCGTTTCAACACATTACATAAAATCCGTGATCTGGTTCCGTCTGTAAAAGATGTGATTCCGGACATACAATACCCTGGTGTCTACAAACTAAGTTGCCTCTGTGGTAGTAGTTACATTGGAGAAACCAAACGCCATATCTCGGACCGCATTCGTGAACATAAAGCAGACCTTAAACACGGTAGGACCAACACCTCGGCCGTAGCAGATCATTGTTCTAATTCAGTAGGCTCACATGCCATTGACTTTTCCAAGACGGAGGTTCTTTGTAAGCCATCTGGCTTCCATGAGAGATTCGTTCATGAGGCTATCCACATATACAAACACAGAGACAATTTCAACCGAGAAGATGGATTCTATCTTAGCAATCATTGGAAAGATTTGATAAATCATTTCAGTTCTTGATTGATTGTTCACGCTTACAGTGCCTTTCAGACAGCATACATAAAAACAAATTTCGTCTCCCCCCTCCTCTTTTCAAAAAATAGATGGACTAGTCCTGGCAAACTGCCATCGTTGCGCGTGACGCAAACGTTATTTTTATATATATAAATAAATATGCCGTTTTCAAAATAAATTTATGCAAACCGACACACCTGATGATGACCGTTTGAGTTATGGTCGAAACGTCGTGAGAATTTTTTATTGTTTTATATATATTTGTTATTTTGTTGTTTCTCTTCAACGTGACTTTACCGAAAAAACTAAGAATATGTCCTGTAATTGTTATATTATACGTAATATAAACATCTGGTTGTTGTGTAATGGGAATGATTAGACGACGAATTGTCATGAGGACAGGGTAACGTGAGCAAACACATATGCGACACTCACAGATACATACTCGCCAGACATACACCACTCATTACTCTGAATAGACAGTCACCAGATATAAAACATTACCTGAACCACACAAAATTAATGAATGTTCACGAAAGTATATTAATGAGAAAATGTTAGTGTTTTG